ATCCATCCATTGTAGTTCCTCCTTCGGTTGATTCTCTAGATCTTGTCTTCTATATACTATCACCAGACATTGCTCCACTACGCCAGTCCTCCCACAGTTCTCGGCCTCCTGTATGAACAACTGACTACATATGTTCTAATATGGAAGGTATACCCTATCCCATCTCTAATTATGTCAGTTTTGATCGATTATCTCTTGCCCATAGATCATGTATAAGCAGCATTTCCAATGATCGAGAACATTCCTCCTTCTCTGATGCCATCCAACACCACTGTTGGTGTCAGGCCATGGAAGCAGAACTGAATGCTCTTGTCAGTAATAATACTTGGGATCTGGTTCCTCGTCCTTCACATCGAAAACCAATTGGTTGCAAAAGGGTCTACAATATCAAACATTGTGCTGATGGCTCCATTGAAAGGTACAAAACTCGCCTTGTTGCTAAAGGTTTCATCCAACGGGAAGGCTTCAATTATCAAGAAACCTTCTCCTTAGTGGCAAAACATGTTACCTTTCGAGCTTTTCTATTCATTGCCTCTCATCATGATTAGCAGCTACATTAGATAGACGTTCACAATGCCTTCCTTTATGGGGATCTCGATGAGGAGATTTATATGGATTTTTCACCAAGTCTTCGCAATCATAGGGAGAATTTGGTATGTTGATTGCAAAAATCTTTATCTAGGTTGAAACAGGCATCTCGACAGTGGAACGTAAAGTTTACAAAAGCTTTCACTATTATTGGATTTTTTCAATTCAAACATGATTACACCCTATTCTCCAGACATCAGGGTGAGTCTTTCCTCAATCTTATTGTCTATGTTGATGGCATTCTCATTACAGAGAATGATGAGAATGCAATCAAAGAATTGAAAGAGTTATCTACACAAGACTTTTCACATCAAAGATCTAGGGGCACAAGGTATTTCTTGGGAATCGAAATTGCTCATTCTTCAGAAGGAATATATCTCAGTCAATGAAAGTATGTACTTGAACTCATATCAGATTTAAGGTTAGAAGTGTGCGAACCATCATTCTTGTAGGATGGAATATCAGGCTCACCATATATGAATACAATGAAAAAAAATCAAACTTCCAACACATATCCCTTATTAGAAAACAACACTAGTTATCAACGACTCGTTGGAAGACTCATATATCTGACAATGACTCGACTAAATATTAGCTACGCTGTACAAATTCTCAGCCAATTCATGCATGCCCCAAAACTATCCCACATGGATGTAGCAGTTAAGGTGCTTAAATATCTAAAGGGTTGTCCAGGTTTATGACTTCTCTTAGCAAGAAAATGAGACTTAAGCATCACGACATACTATAACTCAAATTGGGGCTCGTGTTCAATGACGAGAAGATCCCTCACTAGATTCTGTATTAAGCTTGGAGAATCTCTTATCTTCTAGAAGACAAAGAAGCAAACCACAGTGTCGCTATCATCAGTAGAAGCATAATACAGAGTCATGGCTAAAACCACTTGTGATATCACATGGATTCTTGGTTATTAAAGGATCTAAACATACAAGTGAAAACAACAGTAAGATTGTGTTGTGACAACAAGACGACAAACGACATCGCAACCAATCCAGTCTTTCATGAAAGAATGAAGCACATAGAGATTGACTGTCACTTTGTCAGAGACAAGATACAAGAGGGTATAGTTAAAACATAACACATCCGAACCACAGATCAGCCAATAGATATCTTCACCAAACCACTATGTCAGAGACAATATTCATTTTTATTAAGCAAGCTCGGAGTTTATGACATTTATAAACCATGAGCTTGAGGGGGAGTGTTGACAAGCTGGTATTAAATGAATGTACAATTAATGGAGATAATTGATATGATCCAAATATGGTTAGTTGAAATCATGTTAGCTGAAATTGTGTTATTTACCTTCTGTATAATGACCTTGTATTTATTTACATTATTTGCTTTCTTTACATGTTACATCTATACTTGTATAAATTGTGATACATTGTACATGAATATATATATCAAATATAAAAGTGATTTTTCTCTCTATTTTCAGGTTGTCCCTTTCTCCTGGCATACTCAACAACTAAGTTGCTTCTCCTGCCTATCCAGCCTCTCCTTGGCATACTTCGGTAGCCTTACTACCCTCTCTTGCCACTCCAATTCCAGGTTCTTACACATATGCCAAGCAGCCAAAGACCTTTAAATGATCCAACTTAGGTTTTGTTCCAAAGAACTTTTCATATGGTGAAAGACCATCTAAAACTCTAGTAGGCAGCCTATTAAAGATATAAACAGTAGCCTTGACTGCATAACCCCACAAGTAATTTGGGATCTAGACTAAAATTTAAAGGCTCTAGCTATGTTTAGTATATGCCTATGTTTTCTTTCTATATAAAAATTGTAAGATTCTTTGTGCTTAGTGAGTTGAATACGAAATAAAGAAACTTTACTTTTCTTCAATTCTTTTCTCTGAACAAATCGAATATGGTATCAGAGCATCAATTGAAGCTGCGAAATCGTTTTTTCTTTTGAAGAAATTAGTCGACATTAAAATGTGTGTTCTTGTAATCTTCGTTCAGGCATCAATTGAACTTCATTGTTGATTTTGTTGATCGGTTAAGCTAGATCTTCTTGCCGTAAATCAAGTAAGAATTTGTGATTCAGAATTAGTGAAATGGCGATAGATTCTAGCTCAACTCTTTATATACATCCTCTGGATACTCCCGGTTCAATCTTGATTTCAGAACAACTCATTGGAATAGAGAACTACGAGATATGAAGTCGAGCTATGACAGTGTCTTTGACAGCAAAGAACAAGCCAGGGTTTGTTGATGGTTCTTGTGAGAAGTCAAAATTTAGTCAATTTTTGCATGCACAGTGGGAGTGATGTTAATTCCTTGGTTTTGGCATGGATTTTTAATACGGTTTTGAAGGACATATTCAATAATATTATGTATTCGAGTAATGTGTATCAAGTGTGGTAGGATCTACAAGAATAGTTTGCAAGGTAAATGGCACATGAGTCTTTGGAATTCACAGAGAGATTGTGAATTTGGTGCAAGGAACCAACTCGGTTACGGTATATTACAACAAAGTAAGACTCTGTGGGATGAATTGAGTTCATTGGTAAGTTTACTAACACTAGACAGTGATTCAACCAAGGCTTATTTGGCTCATTTAAATCAACCAAAGCTGTTAAAGTTTTTAATTGGACTCAACGACTCTTATGCTTTAGTACGAAATTAGATTTTATTAATGGTTCCTCTACCCTTGGTGAAGCAGGCATATTCTATAGTTAGTCAAGATGAAAGTCAGAATGTTTGATACATCCCACTCATGTTCCTACTCATGAGTAGCCTACGGATTCATTTACCAAAGCTGTTTCTGGTCCAATTCATCATTTATTGTCCAAGTTGGGTGTGATTGACATTCATCACCTACCAATTTGAGGGGGGGTCTTGGATTATTAAGGTTGTATAAGTTTTGTATAGTTTTGTTACTTGAATATTTGGATAGTTTTGTAATTTGTTAAAGCAAGTTGTTAGTTTAGTTAGATGTAGTTAATAGAACTATGGTTAAGTAAACCATGGTTAATAGAGTCAATAGAAAAAATGTAAGATTCTTTGTGCTTAGTGAGCTGAATACGAAATAAAGAAACTTTACTTTTCTTCAATTCTTTTCTTTGAACAAATCGAATACATAGGTTTTGGCGTCGCCATACATGTACAATGACAAACGTAATACGAAATGTTTATGGTGCACCAAGTTGATTCTTAGGATATCTCGAATCAGACCATTTGTATTTACTTCAACAAAGGAAACACATAGTTGTAGTGTTGTTTTACACGGGAAGTGGCGCCTGAAATTTTCGTTACAGTGAAATATTGGCATCTGTTTTTTCCTGTTGTGAAGTACGATTGAGAGATCTGCATGTTGGAATCCATTGTATTAGTTTCAAGTTTGAAGCATGTGTTTACAAACATGTTATGGCTAAAGTTTTTCATGGTGAAGAAAGAAATCATATGGCATTTTCAGTGATTGTTTCTTAGTAACTAAGTTTGGATCAATATACATTATTGAAGAAATTAGGGAGAGCGACATTTTCCCACCCAAGGTTTGGCAAAACAACACTTTCCCACCCATCAAGTTTCAAAATGACACTTTCCCACCCTTCGTTAGGTTCTGTTATGTTTTCCGTTAATATTTTACTGAAAAGACAAAAATACCCTTAAATAATTTACTTTAAATTTTTTTTTATTTTTTAATTAGCCAAAAAGTCAAATATTAAAAATTCAAAAAAGAAAAAATAGTTAACCCCACCTAAAAAGTTAGGAGTAATGCTGTAAAATTGTTTAAAGTTAAATAATTTTAATATTTATTTATAATGTCATCAATATCAAATCACCTATTATTTATAATGTTTTTCATTTTTACTAATTAACCTAAAAAAATCAATATTTCTAATTAATTAAATAAACAAAGAAAAAAATGTATCTTTACACTTGGACTAATAAATAATCGAATAAAGACTTTGAATTAACTAGATTTTAATTTATAATCAACTAATTAAGAAATAAAATATTTAAGGGTATTTTCGTTTTTTCAATCAAATATTAACAAAAAACACTAACAGAACCTAATGAAGGGTGGGAATGTGTCATTTTGAAACTTGACGGATGGGAAAGTGTCGTTTCATCAAACCTTGGGTGGGAAAATGTCGTTCTCCCAAGAAATTATATGGCATTTTACCAGAAGGCTAAAACAATGCCCAATCCCTATAGAGTAAAAAAAAAAAAAAAAAAGATTTCTGAAAAGCATGAAGTTTAGAATCACAATATATTTCCTCAATGTTGCTGCTGTAACATAAATCTCACTGTCTTATTATTTGTAACATTTGAAAAAAAGAACTACAAATTGTGACAAAATTATGTAAATAACTTTTACCTATTGTATGAAGCACACATATATAAATTACTTATACAGAAAAAAATAAAATTGAGTTGACATTACGAAGACGTTATAGCATCAATCTGACTGGGATCAAGCACAACTCCATGAACTGGCCTTTGTTGCCCTAAGAAACTTCTTTGGGAAGTTGATGCTGACAGAGCTAGTGACTGCACATTAGGAGGTATAGGAGTTTCGGTAGAGTGACCAGAAATGCAGAGGGCACCATAATCATCTTGCTGCCAGTATACTTCAACCATTATGCCTCTAGGATTCTCTGCAGTTTCTGTTCCTGGGATCCCCACAAACCTTGCTCCCGGAGGTATCTGCATTATCATTTAAGAAAATGAGAAGGATATGCATCAAATAATCACTGGAATCTTTTCTACACTCCATTGCATTATGATATGCAAAAATTTCAATATGAAAAGAATAGCACATACCTCAACTGAGGCCCCTGATGACAAGTTTAGAGTGACCAACCTCCCCTCAGCTGCAGCATTGTCTAGTTCTGCTTGTTTCGCGATATTTAAGAAAACTTCTTCCAGTGTTGAAAGACCTAATTGAATATCGGCTATACCAAATTCTCTTTCTCTATCTTGCAGCTCCTTAAAAAAATTCTGCTCAAGTTTGTAAAGTCAGAGGAAAAGAGAAAACAAAATTAAGATTTTAATTTCAGAATATCCCTTAATTGTTATGCGTCGATAAATTCCATTGCAAGAAGCATTATGCTGGACAAGATAAGCAGTTTCATAATTTCTTATTTCTCTTTTCAAAGAGTTTATTGTAGTAACAATATTGTTACAAGAACTGCATTTCTAGGCTATGATGCAAATCCAAAATTGGCATCGGAACCAAAGTTGCAACAATGAAAGGAGGACAATTCCATGTAAAGGAAATGATTCAAACTGTGAGAAATGCTTACCGTCAAAAGCTCCTCTCTATCATGAGGGATGATATATGTCAGGAATGCTTTGTTCTCCTCTTTCGGTACTACATCTAGATGCTGTCAATATATTGCCCAAGTCAGATGCCAAATCTTTCAGTGTTAAAGAAAACTATAAATCTTTTTATTTCTTCTGCTTACATTTTTGAAGAACTGCTTCACTGCATCATGATGAGGTGTTGCAACTGTTTCTGGCCTGTTAGAAGGACTTTGTTCACTTTTGCTTTCAGTGAAACTGACATTAGCAACAAAACCAGTACCAAACCGCGATTTTAATCTGATTGAGGTTCCAATACAGCGGAGCCTACCCTTTGCCATTATTCCTATGCGGTCACTTAGAATATCAGCTTCTTCCATTGAGTGTGTTGTCAGGATAATGGCACGACCTTTCTTTGCATCTTGTATTATGTCCCACACATGCCTCCTTGTTATTGGATCCATTCCAGAAGTCTGCAGATCAAAATAATTGAAAATTAAGAAAACCCTCGACATAAATTGATGCATTACTCATGATGAAAAGTTATTCTAATCTGCTTACCGGCTCATCCAGAATGACTAACTTCGGATCACCAACAAGAGCTATTGCAACACTCAGGCGACGCTTCATGCCTCCACTGTAACTCCCAGCTCTTACTTTGGCTGCCTTAGTGAGCCTCACTTCTGCTAATGAGTTCTCAGTAGCCTGTATTTGAGTTGAAACATTTGTCTCGATAAAAATGAGAGAGCAAAGAGTCATTTATACATAAATGAGCTCATCAAGTAGGGGCATCATTAGTTGATACTATGAACATCTTCAAGGGTAAATGTAGATAGACAGTTACTTAGGGATCCCAAGGCACGTTTGGAGTCTTCATTTATAATGACCAGAAAAGTAGCTTGCAGGTTTGCAAAGCACATACCGATTTGATTGAATCAGAAGGTAGGCCTTTGATACTAGCAAAGAGTTGGAGATGCTCTTCACCAGATAATGCATTCCAAAGAATATCAAACTTTGAAGACAGAAAGTTCAAACGAAGGTTAGTTTCATATTGATTTTGAAAGTCACAAATAGTGAAAATCATGCCCAATTGTTGTTGAAAACAAGCATATTACTGAGAAAGACAGAGAATCACCTGGGGACAAACTCCTATTATTTTCCGAACCTTTGACATACCAACAGAGTTTCCAATGGAATTCCCATAAATTAGTGCTGATAATAAACCAGATTTTATTGTTAACTTCCACTTGAAGTCATAGTAAAAGTAATTGTACAGTTCATTGACAAAAACACAACATACAAACAAGATTTTTACCATCTCCGCCAGTCGCTGGTGTTATGCCAGTCAAACAGCTGATTGTTGTAGTTTTTCCAGCACCATTGGGTCCAAGAAGACAAAATAATTGATCCTTTGCAATGTTTACACATAAACCCTGATGGATAATTAGAAAATAAGCAATGGTTTTTATTTCATGGAAGTCACCAATAACATAAATTTGTACCCCCAGTGGCATCTTTCACATTATAGTGACATTTGATAACTCATGACCTAAGAAATAGGAAATTTGATTGTGATAACATCTAAAAATAACAAAATACTGTCATCAGGAAAAAAAAAAAAGGTATCCTTCCATCCACCTAAAGGATTCCATTGATTCAGCAGGACCCTTACTGGCCAACAACCAAATGAATCAAATTGTTCTGTAGGAATACTGCTTACAACCAATTCCACCAAAACAATTAATGAAATATAAATTTGAAGGAAGTTTATGTAAGAACAAAACCAAGTGCATTAACAAATATTGTGATTATATTAGGAAGAATCTGCTCCATGGAAGCAATATAGCGGTATGTCCAACTACAATAAATGTCTTTCTTCTACCTTCTCAAGCTAAGATTATCACTTAAAAAGTCATTCGTACCTTAACAGCATGGTAAGGTGGAGTCTTCTTGCTTTTACAGCAACCTATCTTCCTCGTCCCAGGATATGTCTTTACAAGGCCACGTATTTGAACTGCCACATTCGGCTCAACACCTTCCCTACTTTGCTGTTTAACAATGTTTTCCTCTTCAAGAACATCTTCGTCATCAGGAGTAATATGTTCCAGTGGAGGGACTGAACCGATAGAACTACAAATGCCACCCTCTTTGAAGGGAAAACAAAAACAATTTCATAATATTAGCCAACTTTATGACCTAAATATAAATAACACTAGCCAACAAGAACTGATAAGCATAGATTGAATTCTAAACTTGGTTACCTTCAGGCTTGCTTCCACCTTTCCCTGTCCAATACCAGGGGTTTAAAAAGTAAAACATTGGTTTCCTCACACCAGCTGAATTTGCAATTATATTATCGAAGTAGATAGCCAATAAAAACCATGCAAAAAATGTTGCCAAAAGCCACATGTAGATATCATTCTGTCAAGAACATGAAAAGCCACAAATATTGAGATGTAATGTCAGTTAATCAGCTTTTCAAGTGAGGAGATAAAATAAATATAGGATAAAAGTTTGAAAAGATTAACGGAGTAGCGATCAAAGAAGAGATGATTTCTTTGCAGATGTAGAGTGAACTATCATGAATTTTAGGATTTTGAGCTTCAAAATCTTTACATACAATTGTTATCACACACTCTGTATTATTTGGGGCACACTCTACCCTTCTACTCCAACTTATCCCAATATCTCCAGGTGAGGAAGTTGCATCAGCAAGCAGATTTAGGCCTTCGGCAAGAAGATTAGGTGGGAACAATGACCATGTGGTTCTATATGAACTAGAAAATTTTTCAGAGTAGGGGAAACCGAAAATTGTAACCACCTGTAACGACAAATGAAGACCTGTAAGCATAACGGACATATAAACTACAATTCAAGAAATCAAGCAGGGGAACCTTGCCTGAGTCAAAGAGCCAACTATATATAGGGAGAAACCCACTGTTGTGGACGACGACGACTTGCTAATCAATGATGAAAACATGAAGGCGTAGCCAGTCTAGCATCAACGGTCGAAAGAATAGATCAAAATTTAAAATGTTAAGGATATGTCTTCTCAGTTTGTAAGGATTGTTCAGAAATGTGCTTACCATATTGAGTTCAAAAAGGAAGAACATAAAGAACAAGACTGCAAAACTATTGTTCAAGAAAAAATCAAATTGGAACATCATTCCAAAAAGAACTATGAAGAGTGATGAAAAAAACGTAATAATTCCCTCCCATGATAGCCATGATAACCAGTAGGCAGAGTCATAAAGACCCATCATAGTCATTGCCTGTTGTAAAACATAAGAAATCATATGGAAATGTGAATAATTTTTCAGGGAAGCAGAAACGCTAATCCTAATCAAACTTCAAAACATAGAACTTTCATACCTGGCGAAGTTTGAGCTCCTTCTCAGTGACCAAAGAACCAATTTGAAACACCAAACCAAACATAGCAGCTGCAAGGAAAAAGCTTGGTCCTATTGAACCTACTACATTGAAAAGCTCCCTTGCAGGATGAGCAAATTCCTTGAGCCCTACAACCCAGNTTTTCTTCTTGATTTCTTAAGGCCAAGGAGGATCTAGCAAATCCCTCCTTGGTTCTTGTTGATTGTCTTCGTGTGGACCTCTACGGTTCGATCCTACACTTGGATCGGTAGCAAACACATTCAGAGACAACATTGGTGGAGCCTCCAACGTGGGTATGGTTTCTCAAACCTTTGGATTTATTTTTCTGCAGATTCTTATTATGCATAAACTGTAAAATCTATGCCTTGATTTTGGGTTCTAAGGAACGATCCGTGGTTGTAAATTTTTATTTTCCGCTGCGCAACCGGGTCGTTTCCTAACAAAACCCTTCAACCCCATTTTCTCTCCCATGCCAGATTTTGGTTTAGCCAAAATCAATACTCATTTTCGTCTTTGTTTCTTAAGGCTAAGGAGGATCTAGCAAATCCCTCCTTAGTTCCTTGCGATTATCTTCGTGTGGACTACGTCGGTTCGATCCTACACTTGGGTCGGTAGCAAAACATTCAAGGACAAAGTTGGAGGAGCCTCCAAACGTGCGTAAGATTATTGAACCTTGAATCTGATTTTCTGCAGATTTAATTTATATACTGTATAAACTGTGATATTATACCCGGATCTTGGTTCTAAGGAACGATCCATGTCATTTATGTCTTTTGTTTTCCGCTGCGTAAGTGGGTCGTTCATTAACAGTCTGACCGTTAAAGGATGTGAATTTGTTGAGTTTCAAGGATATTAAATAGGGGAATCCTGATGGTCTTGTCTGGTTATGTTAAATACATTGAATTTAGTCATTTAGTTATTTTTTGGTTGCCTCTAGAAGTCCAAGAGGCCTAAAAACGTGGGACTTGTTTATGTTGATGTTTGTGTTGCTTTTAAAGTTGTAGTTATAACTTTTCCTATTCTTGGAGGGTTGTTCCAAGTATATAGATGGGCATTACGAATTTTAATGGACAGATATGGTTTTCAGAAAATTATTATCATTGTGAGGTCTTGTGTTCCTCTCCGTTCTTGAAAGAACTCTTGAACTTATCAAGTTAATCTTGTGGCGTTCAAACAACCAAACTTATCACCTTGATTCTTGAGAGATTCTGAGGTTTCTTGGTGTGGCGTTTCAATCCTTCGTAGTCTTGGTTAGGTGATGATGCGTTGTTACTACAAAATGCAATATAGCAAGTGCACTAGTCGCAAAAAGTAATAAAGTGATGAGTGAGTATCATTCCCGCGAGGATTGGTTGTTAATCACTGATTTTCCTATTGTTTTCAAGTTGGAGAAACCGAAAATTGTTTGGATTTATGGGGGAGATTAAAAACTAAACTGAAAACAAAATTTACTAAGTATTAAAAGCTAAATTATGAAAGCAAGATTTAAAACAAGAGTAATATCAATGTAAGCAAACGGTTAGGATTTTGGCTTCCTTCAGACTCTAAGGATTGAGTCTACGAATTATTCCACTTCTACACTCACATGCACGAATTGTAAATCGAATTCTCTAAGTTGTAAAACATACCTTCTTAGGCTATGAATTCCTACTTTTCCCTATTAAGCTTCTGCACCTAACAAATTGAAGATTAATAGTTCTAAGTTCATTAAGCTAATGGAATCCTAGATTGATTTCATTGATTCTCAAACCTATCTCCAGCGTTCAATACTACAATGGTGATTACCCAAGAAGCTCAACATGATTCATTTCTCAATCTTATCATGTTCAACAAATAAAGCAATAAAAATCAGAATAATCACACAATCTATGCAATAGAATATAAAAGCAACAATAATCAATTGATTAATCCATAGAAATCTGAATTACATCAAAACCCTGACCCAAAATGGGTTAGTTCATGACTAAATTAACACACATAGCAAGAAAAACAGTAAACACAATAGTCAACGTATTGAAACAAAGAGAAAAGAGTAAAGATCTCCCCTAGTTGAAGAATCCACAAGATTAAAGCTCAAATCTTCTCTCCTTCTCTCCCAAAATGTCAAAACTACTCTAAAACAAAGATTAACTTAGACGAAACCAGATGAACCTCCACGAAAATGGCAAGGTTTTTCTTAAATAGTCTACCCAAAAACCTAAAAAATTTCCTAAAATAAAACTATGAGTTTTGGAGAAAACAAAATTTTGCAGACTTCGCCGCAGTGAAGAAAGAATTTCGCTGCGGCGACGAGCTAAAGTGAATCTCGTGCCTAGCTTCTCTTGCCGCGGTGAACCTTCCTGAAAAATTCTGAATTTATGAAATTGCCCTCCGCTTGCTTCCTTGCTTGAATCTTCGATCTTCAATGCTTTCCCATGGGAACAAACTTCATAGTGCTTCAAATCCGCTTTAGAACTTTCCCAACTTCTGAGATTCGCTTGCTTCTGGGTCTAGAAACTCCAATCCGCTCATTATTCGCTAAAAATACACGTTTGGGCTTGAAATATAAAATACGTGGAATTAAGTAGCAATTCAGGCACAAACGAACTAAGAAGTATCCAAAATCTGGCTAAAAAGCCTAAATAAAACAATATAATCGTTGGATTATCAAATACCCCCAAACTAAAGACATACTCGTCCCCGAGCATCAAGTACAAAACATGACTACAAGAAAAACGACTAACAAACAAAAACACAAAAACAACAAAATCGAAAATGAAATAAGAAACATTAGACTCAAACTCAACACAACGAACTGCCTAGAATTTATTCAAGTCTCAAAGATTGTTGAAAAATTATTACTAGAAAATGTTCAACACTCCAAGAAGTTATAAGTTGCATTGACTATCTTTCTCTATTGGTCCCCGAGTAGGTGATCCCCACTTCAGTCCATATTCCGACTTCCCTAATTATTTTATGCAGAAAAACAAAGTTTATCAAATGGCGGCAGACTTCATAAGCCTAAGTATCGAACTACTCTCCACTAATGAGGATTAGACATTACTAAAGATCAAAAGGTCTTTACAGGCTTGTAACATTAGGCTCGGTTATTGGGCTTCAAAGAAAAGAAAAAGATAAACAAAGCAAGAGAACTCAGTTTCCTTTAAGCAAACACTCAGACTTACATCAACTTCCACTTTCTTTCTCAACCACCACTCAAGATGTCAACCATGTTCACTTCTTATTTTTGCTTTTGAATTGCAATTCTCGAATTCTCTAATTTTTTTTTTTTTTTTAACAACAATAATCTTATCGAGGTTAATTACCCCTCTTATTCTTCTTGCCCTTCTCACAACCCCCAAACTAATCTTTTAGTTCGTAAGCATCTCACACAACTCTCCAATCTCTTTGTGTTTGCATTAGGTTGAGAATTCTCTTAAAGGTTGCGGATGTGTTTAGGGTGAAAGGTTTGGGCATTATTGGTTGCACAAGAAAAATAGGACAACGATGATTTCATGAGGCTCAAATGGGTAACTAGGGATAAAATTCATGGTCGGCTAGAAAGGCTCAAACATTCCGAAAAACTGCCTAAATCACTTCCTCAATAATGTCTATTCCTAGAATTTCGCCTCAAGCACTTCTCAACTAGGTTCTAGAGTCCACCAACATTATCAAGACTTTACCTAATCACATAAAATGTTTCTAAGCATGCCGAAATAATGAAAATGGTGGTTGAACCACTCAACAAACCTCAAGCTAAATTCAGTCAACCAACATAAACTTGAAGCAATGCTTAACATTTTTCAACAATAAAATCCCAACAATCCTATTCTCATCATAGACTTATGTAATTCATCATTGGCATAACACAACAAAACATGAAAACAACTAAACATAAATAAAAAATTTGTTCAAATTTTTCCTACCCCCAAACTAGAGATGACATTGTCCCTAATGTCACATTATGCACAATTTAGGAATAGAAAAACAAAATTTGCAAAGGTACGAGATAGTTCCCTGATTAATCTGTGAAGTCAGAGTTTCGCTCAACAGCATGCATACCCGTTCCTTGGCTTCCTCATCACCATAATCTGTAAAACAATTGAAATTCTATGGTGTCCACTGTGTTAGAAAATTTCACTGACTAATATGAAAATATTACAATCCTAATCTCGCCCTTACGACTACTAAGAAGTTCAAACAAAATTAAAATAATCCAAAACAAAAAGAAAATTAGTTTCAATGTACAAAATAGAAGACAATACAACTGAAAATAAAAATAAACTACAAAACAGGTGCTCAGGTTGTATTCTCGGCCTCCTCCTCTTCTTCGGTGTCGTCATCTTCTTCTTCAGAGCCCATCCATTCATCAGAATCCCAGTCTGCCCATTGGAAGCTCGAAGTATCAATGTATATCTTTGTGTAGTAGATGTGCTACATATCATACATCATCCGGGTATGCTCTACTAGCTAACCCTGACATCGTTCCATCCGTTTCATCTTGCTCAAAATCTGCTGCAGCAGCTCTTTTGTTGTGGATGTCGACCTGGATGATGTGGCAACTTCTATGGCTCTTCATTGTTTTGTCACAGATCTGGGTCCTTCACTGGGTGGACACTCAAGATGCTTGTTGTAGTAGTTGGTGTCGAGGACTGGTGTAGGATGGATAGGTGGCTCATCATCTGCCTTCTTGACTCCCACTTGAGTGCACAGCTCGGGATGAGATGTGGGAAGGGGAAGCTCCCTCGCCCTGGTTTGGCTACATGCTGTATATTAGTCATGATAATGTTCCCCACATCCATTTTCTTTCCGGTGGCAATGGAATAAAGCAACAATGCCTTCTCATAAGTCACTGTACTATAATGCGTCTTCGGCATCATCCTCGCACACACAAAGTACTGCCATAACCTAGCCATAGATATCAAATTAGTCCCTTAATGCTCTTCCTTCCCTTCTTCAAATCTCCCAAGGGGTATCCGGTTTTGCTATGACCTTAAATATCACCTCATCCTTAAACTATGTCTTCCTAAATTCCTCATACTCATCACGGTCAATTTGAGGCAATCCGTAGAAATCATTGATCACCTTTGCATCGATTGGCACATCAATACCCCTCACAAATACATGTCCAGGATCACACTCAGGGAGGTTGGCATAAAACTCTC